CAAGAACAGCCAGTGTTCTTAACCACTGAGCCATCTCTCCAGCCCCCCACCCCCAAATAAAACTTTTTAAAAATGATTTTATATTTGGAAACATTGTTTCCAAGTTTAAAGACTAGTTTAAAGACTAGCATTAATTGTATTTTTCTAAATAGTTCATTTTAGTTGTAGCAAAGACTAGGTTTAAAAAGAAACTCCACATTACTTTATTCTAAGGTGATCCTTCCTGTCCTCTTAGTACGGACTGGGTTCTTGTAGCTACCCTATGATCCAGCTAGTCTGCTTTTTGATTTATTTATTTTGTTTGTGTATGAGTATTTTATCTGCATGTATGTAAGTGTACCACATGCATTCGAAGCCCACAGAAGGCAGAAGATGGTGTCAGATACATCTCCTGGAACTGGAGTTACTGATGGTTATTAGCCACCACATGGGTGCTAGGAACTGAACACAGGTCTTCTGCAAGAGCAGCCAGTGCTCTTAACTGCTGAGCCATCTCTCCAGCTCCCACCTTTGAATTCTTTATTGTTCACACCTGATTTGTCCACGTAGGCTGCTGAAACAGATCCCATAGACTGGGTGGCTGATCGCATTTGTTTCCCACAGCCCTGAAGGCTACAGGTCCAAGATCAAGATGCCCATAGTTTGGCTGGTACAGCCTGCCCATTTTTCAGACTTTAGTCTTCTGGTTGTATTCTCCTGTGATTGAGGGCAGAGAGCAAAAACTTGTTTCCACTCAAAAGGACACTAGGGACTCTATCACAGGGACCCACCCTAACACCTGCTGTCCTGTAGAGGGCCCTTCCTACTTCATCACTTTGGAGGTTAGGATTTCAATAGACCACCATAGGGGATGTCCTGGTTTGCTTTCCATTGCTGTGATAAACACCATGCCCAAAAGAAACTTGGGAAGGAAAGGATTTATTTTGGCTTACTGGTTACAGTCCATCAAGGGAGGCCAAAGCAGGAGCTCAAGGCAGGACCTTGAAGCAGAAACCACAGAGGAACATGCTTACTGGCTTGCTTTCAGGCTCATGTTCAATTACCTTCCTTTTTAAAAAAAAATTGTTTTTTAATTTTTTAAGAATTTTATGTGTATGTGTGTATTGCCTGCATGTATGTAAGTGCACCCGTGTCATATAATGCCCGTGGAGGAAGAAGGCACCTGATCCCCTGGAACTGAAATTATGGACAGTTGTTAGCTGCCATGTGGGTGCTGGGATTCAAACCCAGGTTTTCTGTAAGAACAGCTAGTGTTCTTAACCACTGGACCATCTCTCCAGCCCCTCAATTTAAACCTTTCTTAGACAGCCCAGGCCCAGCTGACTAAGATTGGCACTGCCCACAGTCCACTCAGCCCTCCTGCATCAATTAACGATCAAGAAAATGCCCCACTGAAATGCACACAGGCCAATGTGATGGAGGCAGTTAGTTTCCTCTTCCCAGGTGTGTCAAGTTCACAGCCCAGATTAACAATCCCCAGGAGGCGGCATCCACTCTAGCAATGTCTAGTGAAGTATGATATTAATATCTCTGTCTCAAAGAAATACGACGAACTTATGGTAGTCTAGTGTCCTAGTAATCATTGTTTTGAGACATAGTGTAGGTGTGGTGGACTACATTAACAAGAAACTTCACTCTTGGATTACGGAGTGGGCATGATTTTGTACTGAGTGTTATCTCGGAACTATGTCTATTTTCTTCTATTCTTTAACAAAGGGTCCCTTAAGCATGGTTTGAGAAAAGAGGAATAAGCTTTGATAACAGTTCTACAAAGGAAGAAGTTGTTGTTCTGACCCTCCTGACTCACAGCAATACCCAAAGCCACAAACAGATGTCATCAGCCTTTGCCTCATGTTGCTTCCAACTTGTGTGAAGGAGACATCTGTAAAGTCATTGTTTTCAGTGTTATCACTGTCACATCTCACACATATGTACACTGTTCTGAATCAGGGGCACGACAGAGTCATAAATAGGGAGTATGGTATAAGATTAAAGGTATGCATTCAGCTTAGCTTATAAGAGTTAATTACATGGGAATTCCAGATCCCTGTAGAACTGATTACATTGTTTTTCTTAGGAGTGCATAGTTCTAAATGTTCTCAAAGCATATGATTAACTTGGTTTACAAGGTTATATTAAATTTCAGTTTATAAAGGATTGTTAGTTATAAAGAGCCTATACCATTAAAGTAATTCCTATGTAGCCCTGGCTGGTCTGGAACTCTATGCAGACCAGGCTGCCCTTGAATTCAGAGATTCACCTGCCTCTGCCTCCCAAGTGTTAGGATTAAAGGCATGTGCCATTGTGCCCAGCACATTGTTTTATTTTGTTTTGTTTTTTAAGACACTGTGGCCCAGACTGGCCTGCAACTTTTTCTGTGTTGACCAGGCAGGCTAGCCTCCGATTTGTAGCAGTCCTCCTGCCTCAGCCCCACAAGTGCTGAGGTTACAGAGGTGAGCCATCTTATCTGTTTCCTGGCATCAAAAACCTTTTATAAAATAATTTATTTTTATTTTATGTGTATGAGTGTTTTACCTGCAAGTATGTAAGTGTACCATATGTGTGCAATGCCCATGGAAGCCAGAAGAGGGCATTGAATCCCCCTGGAACTGGAGATACAGACAGAAGTTAGATGCTGTGTGGATGCTGGGAACCGAACCTGGGTCCTCTGCATGAGCAGCCAGTGCTCTTAACCACTGAGCCATCTCTCTACCCTCACAGTATTTTTAAAGTGAGACAGAGAAGTAATATAATTACAGCACTAATCCTTTGGACAGGGGGGGTAAAGGGGAAAATGTGAGATAATGATTCTGCTGCCTGATACAGTCCCTGTGCAATCAATACTTGAGTTACTGCAGTACATCTACAGAGGAAGTGGGCAGACACAAGAGGGAAAAAGCTAGAATGGTCTAGTTCTCAATCCACTGAATTCCCATAAGGCAAGTGGCTTTTGGGGAAACATTTGATTACATAAGCCCTTGTGGAATTCAGCTAATTGTCCCAGTATTTAGAATCATCTTTTTGAGGATTTATGTGAGCATATACCCAAGGAACTTTTTCATCAAAATAACTGCACTTTCTGTTCCCTTTTATGACACTTTTAACTTGAATCTTTTAGATACATTTTTGAATGGTTTTGTTCCACTACAGGACAAGGGATGGACGAGCCTCTTTCGGACACTGGGTTTAAGCAAGCAGCTGCTGCTGGTCAATTTTTGAACAATGTGCACTTCACTCATGCCTTCTCCAGCGATCTCACCAGGACAAAGCAGGTGAGTTTAGGGTCTAGGCTGATAGGTCAGAAGTCTCAACAACTGTAAGCTCAAAAACTCTGCTTCTAGGGACCTGCAAGATGGCTCAGCAAGGAAAGGCCCTGGCTGCCAAGCCTGATGACAGAGTTAAATCCCTACATCCCAAATGGTGGAAAGAGAAAACCAACTCACAGCAAGTTTCCCTCTGAGCTCCACACATGCACCATGATCACACATACACACACACACACGCACACACACACACACAAATAAACAAACAAATAAATTAAGATGGAAGCCTGAAAATAAATAAATGTAAGACAGACCTCTGCTTCTAGAGCCAACGCAGAATTACTTCACACAGAATATTTTAGAGTACCTTTGAAGAAAATGTATATCAAGAGTCTATTATTTGTATATCAAATGTGTATCAATATATTGATAAAATTAACTTAAAAATAAGTTAATATGACAGCAAGCCAACATGAGTAACAGATTAACCCCCCAAAACATCTGATATTAGAATTATTGTAGATAATAAAACACTGTGAAAGACATGTTATAAATGTTTTTAGGGAGTATATTAGCATAACATGATGCTAACTTTAAAAACAAAACCAAATCGGGGAGCTAGAGAGATGGTTTGGTGGTTTATGTATTGCTTTTCCAGAGGACCCAAGTTCAGTTCCCAGCACCCATGTCTGGTGGCTCACAACCGTCTGTAACTCCAGCTGCCAGTGCCTCTGGCTTCCCCAGGCACTTGTGCTCACATGCACAGACACACACATATATACACATAATGAAAAATAAAATAAAATCTTTAAAAAACTTAAAATCGGGGATGGAGAGGTGGCTTAGTGGTTAAGAGCATTTGATGTTCTTGCAGAGAACCTGGGTTTTTTGGTTCCCAACACTCACGTGGCAGCTAACCACCTATAACTCCAGTTCCGGATCTGATACCCTCTTCTGGCCTGTGTAGGCATTGTACACATGTGGTATACTTTACATGCATGCAGGCAAAACACTCATACACATAAAATAAAAATAAATTTAAAAGCTGGGCATGGTGGCACTCGGGTGGCAGAAGCAGAGGCAGAGGCAGGCAGATCTCTGAGTTCAAGACTCTCCTGGTCTACATAGCCAGTTTCAGGCCAGCTGCAGCCACAGGGAGATCCTGCCTCAAAAAAGGAGACCTATGATGAATGACAAGGGAATAATGGGATTGGAATCTTACCCTCCCTGAATAAACAACTAGGAAATACAACAAAAATATATGAAACCTTTGAACTTGAGACACTTGTAGTGCCTGAAGGAGGTGGCACACACAGGCAAGCCATAGGGGAAGCCACAGAGGAGCTCACTGGTCCCATCCTGGTGAGTTGAGGGAGCAGTTGCAGAACTTTGGAGGTAAGCACAAGGGAGCAGAGAAAGAACCCCAGAAATACACACAGGGATCCTCTTAGATCCTGGCTGGTCTCTAAGTCTGCACATTCATCAGTGAAAATACACAGCAGGCAAAACACAACTTCCTGAGAGACAACGGTTCCTGGGAAGGGACAAATAGTGAAATTCCTAGAGCGCTCACAGGACAGGGATGCGTCAGAGTCCCCACCAGACAGATGTTGAACTCAGCGTATTGTAGAGATGCCAGAGGAACCACACCTTGCTATTTGAGGAGAAGAATGAGAGAAATAAAAGATATGAAAAAATTTTGCTATCCAAATTGGGATTTGGAGAGATGGCTCAGCGACTAAGAGCACTGACTGCTCTTGCAGGGGGCCTGGGTTTGGTTCCCCACACCCACATGGCAGCTAACAGTCATCAGAAACTCCAGTTGCAGGGAATCTGATGCCCTCCTGACATCCATGGCATTGCATGACACAGGTGCACTTGCATACATGCTGGCAAAACTCTCATACAAAATAAAAATAAATTTTAAAAAATTCAGTTTTACATTTTTTAAAAAGTAGTAACTGAAAAAATTTTAAAGATTTTTAAAAAATATGTGTATGTGGGGATAAGTGTATGTGAGCATATCAGTGGGGTTTTGACAGAGGTGTTAAGGTAGTTTAGTGAAGAAAGATGATCTTTTTGTTTTTTTTTTTTGAGGCAGTGTCTCCCTATAGCCCCAGCTGGCCTGGAACTCTCTGTGTAGACCAGGCTAGCCGCCATGTTACAGAGATCTGTCTTCCTCTGCCTCCTGAGTGCCAGAATTAAAGGCGTGCACCACCAAGAGTGGCCCAGGAAAGGCGAAACAGTGGGCTAGCCACAGGAAAATCATGACTTTAGACCCTTGTACCATATTCATGGTTTGAAGTTATAAATCAGAAACCAAATCTTTTTGAAATTAAAAATTTCTGTATGCCAAGCATAGTGATGCATACTTATAAGTTAGCACTTGGGAACTGAGGCTGAGACAGGAGGATCAAGAGTTGTAGGCCTGCCTAAGCTACACGGTGAGATCCTGTTAAATAAAACAAGCAGAAGCCCTTTGAAATATACCATTAAGAAAATGGAAAGGGGCTGGAGAGAAGGCTCAGCAGCTAAGAGCACCACTGGTCTTCAAGAGGACCTAAGCTGGATTCCCAGTACCCACATAGAGGCTAACAACTGTGACTCCACTTTCGGGGGATCTGACACCCTCTTCCGGCAAAACACATACACGTAAAATAAAAATCAAAAACTCAGACATTCATCCAAGGGCAGATGTCCATATAAAGACCTGTTGAGTTGCAGTTTTCTTTTTAGACAGGGTCTTCCTGTAGCTCTGGCTGGCCTGGAAAGATCTGCCTGCCTCTGCCTCCCAAGTACTGGGATTAAAAGCATGTGCCATCACATCCAGGTTATTTTTATTTTTTAAATTATGAGTGCCTGTGTGTGCAGTTGTCCCTGGAGGCCAGAGGAGTCAGAACCCCCCAGACCTTGAGTTCCAGGACACAGTGAGCTGCCTAACATGGATGCTAGGAACGGAACTCAGGTTTTCTATAAGAGCAGCAAGTGCCCTTAACTGCTGAGACACCTCTCTAGCCCTTGTAATATCTTTGAACAGGAGATGGCAGGCATCTGGGAGATGGCTTGGTGGATAAGAGCTCTTGCTGTGCAAGCATGAGGACCAGAGTTAAAATGCCCAGAAGCTGGTCATGGTTGTATATACACATGTAACCTCAGTGCTAGAGTGGAAGACAGGATGGCTGGGCATTGGCAGCCACCAGCCTATGGCAGGTTCAGTGAGAAACCCTGTCTGAAGTGAATAAGGTGGAGCGTGTTAGAGGAGGACACCTGATGCTATCCTCTGGCTTCATGTACATACGTGTACATTTAATACACACGGAGACTGTAGAGAGGTGGAGGTGAGGCAATATTGAATAACATCCTAGGTGAGTTTTTAGACAGGATCTCACTATGTAGCACTGGCTGGCCTGGAACTCATTATGTAGACCAGGCTGGCCTCAACTCTGCCTTGACTGTAGGAAATAAAGGTGTGAGCCACCTTGGTCTGCTTCTAGGTGATCATCTTAAAGAATCTTTCAAAGACCACAGATTGCTAGATCCAGGAAATGTAGCCAAATGCCTATCAGGATAAACACAAAGAAGTCCATAGAATAAGGAAAACATGTCACTAAAGGCCAATAACGAGGCATCTACAAATTTCTCACTATAAAAACTGATTTTTAATGTGCTAAGAGATGGGACTAATCCCCCAAACCGTTTTGTACAGATAAAACAGAAGCCTTTCAGACAAATAAGTTTGAAAGTCACTTTCAAAGAAAACTGAAAGAGAAGGAAAATAATCCCAGGAGAGTCTGAGCTCAAGAGAATTGTGAGCACAGAAATCAGAAAGAGGAAATCGCTGGAGCAAGCTGGTTAGCTGGGCTAGCTGGAACGGTGAGCTCTGGGTTCTACAACACAGCCTGCCTCAGGAAATGAAGTGCAGACTGATCAAGGAACATACCCCAGGTCAACTTCAGGTATCCACACGTACACATGTGCCTACACACATGTGAACACATACATGTACACACATATTCACATGTAAAAGAACTAAAAGGTTAGCACATCTTTTCCATGAGGAGACAGATAATAAATATTCTAGGTTTTACAACCTCTGGTGTCTGTGAAAGCTGTTTACTTTTTTCTGTTCACATTGATGTGATGAGAATACATGCAGTAATGTGACTGTGTTCTAATAAAACTTTATTAAAGCAGATTATGGCTTCTGGAGTTTAATTGGTCAGTGTGTAGACTGGCAGATAAAATAATAGAAAGAGTCAAACATGAAGACAAGATAGGATGAGCAGGATAGAAAAGCAGGTACTTGTGTTGGTTTGTTTTCTGGTATGGGAGATCAAACCCTGGACCTCTTATATGGCCAGCAAGTACTCTGCCATTGAGCTCCAGCCCCAGCCTGAGAAGCAACTCTAGTACAGGGAAATTGTTGTGAGTACGTTTATTAGCTAAAGCAATATGTATCATTTTGAAATTTCATGGTGACTATTCAAATGAAGTATTTGTCTTTTCATTTTCAGACCATGCATGGCATTTTGGAGAAAAGCAAATTTTGCAAAGACATGGCAGTCAAGTATGACTCAAGGCTTCGAGAAAGAGTAAGTACTTACTCATATACTCTTCTCTAGTGCAAACTTTCAGGAAGCTGTCACTCAGTTTGTAAGTGCAGTCCTCCTGGAGATTTAGAATGTATGGTATGGATCTGCTATGTAGCTGTGATGGCATACATTTCTAATCTCAGTGGAGGCAGGAGAATTGTTAGAGTCCAGCCTGGGCTATATAGCAAGACCCTGTCTTTAAAAACCAAAATTTGGAGATTTAGTTCAGTGGTAGATATAGCTCTAGGTACTTTCCTAGAATGTTCAAAGCCCTGGGTTCAATTCCCAGCACAGAGGTAGAGGAGATAGAGAGGAGGGAAAACCTACTACTTGAGAATTATTGCTTCGTGCTAGTATATAGTACCTTATTTAACTATATGAGATAACCTTAAGTTATAAATGAAGACGCACTCATAAAAACATCATAATATGGCCAAGTTTATAGTAAAATTGAAAGGTTCTCACCTTCCAACTCCTAATTGCTATAAGCATGGGTCAGTTTTTTCTGACTCCTAGCTTGTTCACCAGAAGTGGACCTTAAAGCCAAAATTTAGAGTTAGGGAAAGGCAGGTGGAAATTTCCGGTCAAATATCTGAACCAAGAGCTCTTCCTGGAGCAGTGTTTTTATCGTGCCCTACAATGCTGACTATAAGCTCAGCAGCATCTCCGTCAGCTCCAGTTTCTTCTTTACCCAGGTAGAATGGCCCAGAATGGTTAGAGCACTATAAAAGACCCACTGCTCACAACTCACATGTGTTCTCTGGTGTGGGTCAAGGTCTGGCAGGAAGAAATTCGCACTCTTCACCTGGGAACCAGGGCTCAGGAACACCAAGCAGGGCCTCTCCTCAAATATTGAGAGAAAGCATGGTCCCCTGGCTGGACCACCTTTCTCACTCTCTGCTCCCTCAGTCCTTCCAGCCTCCCCTGAAATTTCAGTGAATGGCCTGGTGATTGCCACATCTGGGTTTTTAGCTGACAGCCCTTCCCATGCCTACGTCAGTGTCTGATTGCATGCCCTGCAGCAACTTCTAGCTCCGTGCAGTGAGCTGAAGTCACTCCAGCCTGCTCCTGCTTCAACCATCCTGCCCACTATTCAGCCTCATACCATCACTGTATCTTCCACAGCCTGTCAACATCTGGCCACATCTGGTTTTCTCTCAGGCCCCTGACCTCCAGTTGCAGCTCCAGTAACCTTTTGAAATTGTGCTCTGTATAAAATGGTTCAGTAGTTGTCTCTCACCTTTATGAGGTTGTCTAAACTGTTTAACCTCCCTCCCACACATTGCATGAGCTGTCTGTCACCTTGACCTGCGCTCTCTCCTCTTCTGGTGCCTTTTCTTTGTCTTGGGCAGGGTCTCCCTGTAGCCCTAGCTGGTCTGGAACTCACTATGGAGGCCAGGCTAGCCTTGAACTTTCAAACCTCCGGAGTGCTGGGTGCCTCCTTGCCCCGCCCCCCCAGTGCTTTTTGCTCCAGCCTCTGTGATAGGTATCACAAGAGGGTGTTTCTGTGGTATTTGCCCTGCCACCTGCTGGCACTTTTTCCGAGCACTGAAGGCTCATTCATGTTCGTGACAACCTAGTGTTAGAAAGATTTCAAAACCTTAGGTTTTAAACCTGCTGTCTTTTTAAAGATAGGCTCTTGCTATGCAGCCCAGACTGGCTTCAAATCCTTGATCCTCCTGCCTTGGCCTCCTGAGGGCTTGGATAGCAGGCGTGAGCCACCACACATGGCATCATTTTACTTTTAAAAGTCGTACCACATCTGGAACATGGTATCTCTTTATGGATGCTGTGTGTTCCCAAAAGAATATTGGAGGTTATCTAGAAAACATTTTGTGGAGAGAGAGAGAGTGATTGAAGGAACAAAGGAAGAGACGCAGACATTTTGTTATAGTATTTGTAGTTGCTGTACATCAATGTGGGAAAGTGTTTCCTTTCTTTCTTGGTAGTTTAGTTTAGTTTAGTTTTGTTTGTTTTGTTTGCCAGAGCCAACGTTGAAAAATTAGCATACTTATTAGGTTTATCTATCATCTCTATCTGTGGTTTTTTGAGATAGGATTTCACTTTGTAACCCAGCTGTCTTCAAATTCTTTTTTTTTAATTTATTTTATGTGTATGAGTGTATTACCTGCATGTCTGTAAGTGCACTGGGGACGTGCAATGCCCTCAGAGGACAGAAGTGGGTTTCCAATTCCCTGGAACTGAAATTGTTAGCAACCACGTGGGTGCTGGGAATTGAACCCAGGTCTTCTGCAAAAGCAACCAGTGCCCTGGCTTCAAATTCTTGATCCTCCAGCCTCAGCTTCCCAAGTGCCAGGCATTGGAAACCATGCTGACTTATTCCCCGTTTTATAGATGTAGAATTGAAAGCACACGTAGGTCCAGTCCACATCCAGTATCTTGTCAGCTGCCTGGCCTTAACACCCACTAATGAGAGGCCTCTGAGATCTTCTCTGACCTCATTCAAATGCCCCAGACCTTTCCTCACAGAGCTTGAATCTGTGTTCCACTCTGCCTAGGGAATCTGCTCTCCAGCCTGGCTGCCTTCTCACCCTTTGGCCTCTGGTTCTCTAAGTCTAAGAAGAGGCTCCTTCGTTTGTGTCCTGCCCTTCATTTCCTCCCACCCAGGCTCTGTTTTACTAGTGCTCCTTGATTAGCAGTCCCCTCACCCTTTGGGCTCAGCACATGGCTTGGCTGCCCAGCATGTCTCATGAGGAGAGCTCACACCGTTAGCTCTGAGGATATTGGGTAAAGGAAGACTTCTCTTGCTGTGGGATAAAACGGGCTGACTCACTGGCCCCTCTGTAATAGGGGTTGCTCCACATACAGCCAAGAACATAAGCAGTTGGGCTTGAGGATAGTAAGAGTGACTGACTTTTTAGGAAACATAAATTTAGAGGATAGAGAGATGGCTTAGTGGTGAAGGACCCAGGTTCAGTCCCCAGCACCCACATGGTGGCTAACAACCATCTGTTACTCCAGTTCAGGGGATCTGATACCCTCTTCTGGCCTCTGCAGGCATTGTACTACTTGGGTGCACTTATATACATGCAGGCAAGACACTCATACACTTTAAAAATAAGAAAACATACCTGTTCCTATGAAAATAGCATTTTGTTACCAGGTTTCAGATAATGGTGTGAGAATCTTTTAGCAAATCATAAATGTCACTTTGCTTTCTTAAATGCTTTATTATGCAAATAATTCATTATTTCTAGAAGGAATTTTCATTTTGTATGTATGAGTTTTTTGCCTGCATGTATGTAAGTGTACTTATGTCATGCAGTGGCAGAGGCCAGAAGAGGACATTGGATCCCCTGGAACTGGAGTTGCAGATGGTTGTTAGCTACCATGTAGGTGCTGGGAACTGAACCCAGATCCTCCAGAAAGAGCAGTCAGTGCTCTTAACCACGGAGCCTTCTCTCCAGCCCCTAAAATTATCTTTTACATAGTCTAGTCTAAAATAGTACCTCAGTCCAATGTTAGAGTAGAGTATGTATTTCTTATACTAATGCAATTTAAAAGTAGCTAGGTGACATGTTATTGCATAGACTTAAAAAAATTTTATTTATTTTATGAGTATGACTGTATTGTCTGCATGTATGTAAGTGTACCCGTGTCATGCAGTGCCTACAGAGATTGGAGGAGGGCATCAGATCCCCTGGAACTGGAGTTACAGACAGTTGTTAGCTGCCGTGTGGGTGCTGGGAACTAAACCCAGGTTGTCTACAAGAGCAGCCAGTGCTCTTAACCACTGAGCCATCTCTCCAGCCTGAGTGTATGCCAACTCTGGCCCTCAATGAGCTAGGAGAAATTTGTTTTTCCACACTAACACTTGCTCTTTTGTTTCTTTGACCTTCCCACTTAATAGCTTAACAGTAGTGGCATAAACTTTCAGGTGGCTCCCAAGGTGGATTTCCCACCTTTCTTGGCCTTTTCCTTTGTCCTTTGCTGTGGCTAGGTCTTCAGAAACCTCAGAGGCCAGCAAGCTTCAGACTCAGACCCACGGTGGCTTGGATTTTAGGTGCTGATTACTGGCCACAAAGATGTAGGCTGGTTGCTCACCCTCACTGAAATTCCGATGCCTTGCTGAGCAATGGACATGGAAGTGTTTAATTGTAAACCTGCCATTATCAGAATCAGGCGAGACAATCCCATGATTCCGTGTTCATCTGGTAAAACCCTTCCATCTACTTGGGCTAGCCTCAGGAATTTCTTCCCCACAGCACACTTGGACAGGGTACCCAACTTGAGAATTCCACTGTATTTTCTGGGTTCGTGGCCCTGTACTGAGTGTGTTCCCACTGTCAAGACCAGAGTAGATAATAAAATAAGTGAAGGACATCGAGCTTGTTCTTAGGAAGGTTTCAATGTTCCCAAACCTAAACTTTATTGTTGTACAAATTTTAAATGGTACCTCTGTCTACTGGACTTCCAGAAGTACGGGGTCGCAGAAGGCAAGCCACTCAGCGAGCTACGGGCCATGGCCAAGGCAGCAGGGGAAGAATGTCCCATCTTCACCCCGCCCGGAGGAGAGACCCTAGAGCAGGTGTGTAGCCCACATCCAGGTTGCCACATCAGCGACCTTGCCGGCGACTGAGTCATTGAATTCTGAATGGTTTTATGTCCTGTTTTTCTATCCTAGAGTCTGTGACTGACAGCCAAGCATTTTGGAAGCTTCAACAAGTCCTTTTCTTTTCCTTTTAGCCCGTCTTTCTCAGCTCCTGCTGAATCAGCAGTCATCCCTGATGGTAGATGAGGAAACGTTCCTAGACAATACGATACTGCTCAGGAAAACTGAACAGAAAGCAATGGGGATTGGGGGGTGGGGCACAGGCAACTGGGGGCAGCCAGCGAAGGAGGCTGAGTGGGGCTTGGAGGGGGACAGGCAGGCCAGTCAAGAGCCAAGTGCTTCTAAGTATGAGACCTCCAACTCCTGCTGACTGACAGCATCTCCAAGTTTTTCCCCCACCCAGTTCTTTCTTTTATTGCTTTTTTGAGCCAGGGTCTTCCTCTAGCCCAGGCTGGCCTGGCACCTATGTAGCCCACACTGGCCTCAAACTCATGAACCCTTCTGCCTTGGGTTCTCAAATGCTGGAATTGTAGGCATGCACCATCATGCTCAGCTCCAACCTCTGATTTCTTTTTCACAGTTTTCTTTTTTTGTGTGTCTGGGGGGAGGGGTTGGGTAGGCAGGGTCTCCCTGTAGTTCCAGCTGCTCTGTAACTCACTATGTAGACCAGGCTGGCCTCTGGTCTCACAGAGATTCTCCTCCCTCTGCCTCCAAAGTGCTGGGATTAAAGGTGTGTGCCACCACACCGAGCTCTAAAATCTATTCTTAATTGATAAATGAAGACGTAAAAGTTGTACATATTATTGCAGTGCCAGGTGATATGTGGACATATGCATCCATTGTATAATGTTTAAATTGGGCTGAACATTTTCTGTCTCCTCAAACACTTGTTTCATTATGATGAAAACTTCCAAAATCTTTTCTTCTAGCTTCATGAAATGTACAGTATATAATTGCTGTTGCTGCCTTCCCTTGCAAAAGCAACCTGGAACTTCTTGCCCCTAACTGTAGCTTAGCACCCATTGATCCACCCTTCTCCATCTGTCCTGCACCCTCCTCTCCCTGACTTCTGCTAAGCACCACTCTACTTTGGTTTTTATGAGCTCAACTTTTCCACATTGGCCAGATGAGAACATGCCCAGTGCATCCTGAGTCTGGCTTACGTCATAGTGACGCCCTCCACTTCCAATCATGTCATTGAGGATGACAGATTGCATGCTTTGCTGGTGACTGAATGGTGTTAAGTGTGTGTACCATATTTTACACCTTCAGTTGACAGCTGTTTCTTTTGACACAGAAGCAACTCTTACCTCAAAGTGGACAAGTAATTGTTTATTCTGGAGCCAAATGTAGGTGACCATGGCCTCTAAACACAGATCCAAATTACTCCAAATTCTGTGTTCCAACATGGTAACAGTTTCATGAAGTTTTTATAGTAACAGAACAAAGACATAAATCAAGACAATTTTCAAATACATTGGTGAAGACATGAGAGAGTCAGGTTACATCAAGGCAGGGAGAATTCTGCTTGTAGGGCTTAGGTGCTATCTGACAGCATTTTGGTTGGGGTACACTACACTAGGGATCTGTTTCTGGATTCCAAAGGATTTACTTAATGGTCACAAAATATACAGAGGTATATTATCTAATATATATTATTGCCTTTCTCTGTCATGTACAGAGAAGGGCAATAAATGGCTATTGGGGGGCTAGAGATGGCCCAAGATAATTTGGCTCTGGACCTGCAACATTCCAACCCCTCCACATCAAAAGTTCCAGTTCATCCATCAGTCTTTGCAGACACAGCTCCTTTCTAGAAATTCTTCACATTTCCACATCTTGGTCATTGCAAATAGTGTTGCACACAGGAGCACAGATATCTGACTGAGTTCTGGTCATTTCCTTTGGACACATACCCAGCAGTGGAATTGTTACATTGAATGCTAGTTCTATTTTTTTAAATTCTTGGGGAATTTCCCTGCACTTTTCCATAATGGCTGTACTATATATTCCCTGATATCAGCAGCGTGGAGAGTTTCCTCTGTCCAACATCAGTACTTGTTTCACCTTTTTACTTATTTTGTGCATACATATGTGTATGTATGTATGTGTGTTCACATGCGTATGGCAGATACACATGTGTAAGTGTGCATGTGGAGGCCCAAGGATTGCTCTCTACCATGTATATTGAGGGTCTTTTGCTGAACTCAGAGCTGGCCATTTCAGGTAGTCTGGCCAGTCAACTTGCTCCAGGGGTTCTCTGTTCTGTAGATTGGGATTACATGGGATGGGGGTCAGGGGTGGGGTGGGAGCTCAGGAATCCAGCTCTTTACATGGGTTCTAGAGATCCAGACTCCAGCCTTCACTTGCACAAGCGCTTCACACACTGAGCCATCACCCCAGCCCCGCTTTCATCTTTGTTTTTTTGAGATAGGGTCTCCTTGTAGCCACAGCTGGCCTGGAATTCACTGTGTAGACCAGGCTGGCCTTCATCTCCCAGATATCAGCCTGTTTCTGCTGGGATTAAAAGGCGTATGCTACCACGCCTGGCTCTTTCATCTTTTCTGGAAATAGCCAGTTTTATTGCAGTCAGACAATAACTCTTTGTGGTTTTAATTAATTTGCATTTCCCTGATAATTAGTGATATTGAACATTTTTTCATATACCTGTTGGTCAGTTATATGTCATTCCATGTGTGTGTGTGTGTGTGTGTGTGTGTGTGTGTGTGTGTGTGCTGGGAGTTGAACCCAGGGCCTCAGCACGTGTAGGACTCTCAATGCTGTGACCAAGCCTAAGCCTTGTAGGTCTTTAGGAAATGAATATTCAGGTCTGTTGCCCATTTTTAAATTAAGTTGCGTTTTGCTGTTGATTTTTTGGATGTATTCTGGATACCCCCCCCCATCATATGTACACCTTGCAAAGACTTCCTGCCATTCTCGTGTTTTATCAGGTGTTCCCTTTGCTGTGCAGAGCTTTTCAGTTTAATATCCCATTTGTCTATTTTTGCTTTTTCCTATTTGTTTGGAACCCTGTCCAAAAAATCCTTGGCTTTTCCAAAGAGCCACAGTGCTTTACCTACATTTTTATCAAGTAGTTTTCTGTTGTATTTTTTCCATGAGAAGGTTCTGTCTTCTTTTCACTGTGCTGTGTTTGCACTGTGTCCACATTTATGCTGGTATCATGCTGTATGGATTCCTGTGGTTTCATAGTATATTCTGAAGTCAGGTAGCATAATTCCTCCTGCTTTATTCCTCCATATGCATATGTGTGACTTGTGTATGTGTGCACATGTATTATGGGTGCACATGTACATACAAGGTTGACATCAGGTACCTTCCCTGATCACTCTCCACCTTGTATATTGAGGCAGGGCCTCTCCCTAAACCAGGAGGTCAGGCTCTGGAGTTCTGGGGTTCCTGCCATTTCAGCTAGTATAGCTAGCCAGCTTGCTCTGGGGGTCCCCTGTCTCTGCCTCTGGAGTTCTGGGGTTCTGGTCTTCACGCTTGTGCAAGCACCTTTCTTGCTGGGCCATCTCCCCACCCTCCTGTTTCATTTTTTCTTAGTGTCTTTGACTTCTAGTGGTTTTGGGAGCCCCGTGTAAACTTCAGACTTGTGTTATAAAGTCAATGACGTCCCTTTATTTCTTTACTTCTTCCTTCACAGGTGAAATTGCGTGGAAAAGATTTCTTTGATTTTATTTGTCAGCTCATCCTTGGAAAAACAGGTCAGAAAGAAGACATTTTGCCAGGTCCTCCAAGCAGCTCCCTGGAAACCTGCTTAGCAGACATATTTCCATTGGGAAAAAGCATCTCTGAGCTGGATTCCGACAGTGGCATGCCAGGCTTAGCAGCCAGTGTCTTGGTTGTGAGCCATGGAGCTTACATGAGAAGCCTGTTCGGTTATCTTCTGAGTGACCTGAAGTGTTCCCTACCAGCCACTTTAAGCAAATTCGAACTTTCGTCAGTCAGTCCTAACACTGGGATTAGTGTCTTCATCATAGACGTTGAGGAAGGAAGAGAGCCAACGGTTCAGTGTGTTTGTATGAACCTCCAGGAGCATCTAAATGGAGTGACAGACACTCGCTAAATTGAAAACTGCATCAAAATCTTAAGACTTTGGAGCCTGAAGGAAGTGCCTTGCAGAAGCAAGCCTTGGCTTGCTGTGTTTCCATCCTGCCAATTTGGAATCAATTAAGAAATCAGGTTGTAAAGCTCCACAGTGGTGGGGGGCGGGCTTATCAGTTAAGGAAATCCACCTAAAATCAACCTATTTTTTGTTTTCTGAGTACATTTGCCGTTTCCTACAGTAACTTTGCCACCCTGTTCAGTTATGTCTCTAAATTATTAATGTATGAAGAAACTTGGTATTGCAAATAGGGGGGAGTAACCTTGTTTTTTTATTTTCCATTTTGTTGATCTTTTGTCATCAATGTCTAGCTTATTTTATTTTGGTGAGATAACTATACGTTTTCACTGTTGGATCAAGTGCTTGCAAGAAAGGACGAATTGTAATTCACTGCATATTTACAATGATTGTGCTCTAGTCCAAAGACCTTTGAATGGAAATTTCCCACCATCATCAGTGTAAAATAAAAAGCAAAACCACCAGAGGATCGTCCACAGAAGGCAGATGTTGGGATTTCTTATTCTAAAAGGCTTAGATACAGATGAATGTACAGTATGTTTGCAGAGCAGCCTTGGGGGTAAAAAATACCAAAACACCTACACCACTTGATCAATACACATTGCAGGAGTCTCTGAGGAGGGCAGTTTTCCAGAGGTAAGCCAGGGGAAAAAATAATTACTTGGATCGAAGAAGTGGAGAATTTCTGATTTGAGGAAGGATCCAAATAAAGTCAACAGTTACTAGTACCCTAAGAACAAAAGTGGGGACTTCTGTTGAAAAACAGGGTGGTCTGATAATGCACAAACCCACAAAGGTGGGTTTTGTGTAAGGTACAGGTGAAATTGATTTTTCTCCACCAGATGGCGCTATAGGAAAGAGATTTTGATTAACCCAGATGTTTTTGAGAAAACAATTTTTTTAAACAATTTTGGGTGTGTAGAAAAAGTGGAGCAGAAAGTAGGTTATTCCCACATGCTTGCTTTTTCCACTTCCTTCTATTACTAAAATCATGCCACAGTTAAAGAAGCCCAGATCTGAATCAAGAATGTATACAGTGTATACCTTTGATTTCACCACACTGATGACTGCGTGAGCCTCGTGAGAGTGGTGAGCCTCTGGCAGAGCCTTCCCTCCCTTCCCCTGGGCATCCTCTACATTGCATCTGAAGTTCAGTGTTCACACCATTCTCAGTGTGCCGAGGATGACCCAAGTTACTCTGCCAGTGTTGGGAATAGCATGAATTTGAGCAACAACGGAGTGTTACAAAAACGGGGGGTTTAGGGATGTCACGTGTTGCTCAGTAGGCCCTGGTTTTGGTCCCTAGCACTGACGGAAAAATAAAGGACAAAACTGCCCTTTTATAAAGAAGCCAAACAGTATGTAAGTTTTCTGTCTTCCACGGCTGCCAGTGCAGAGTCCACACTGAGCGAGTCCTTTGTCCTTTGCACACATCTCCCCAGTGCTGAGCATCTAAGGCAACAGTGTTGTTTTGATGCATTTCAAATGTGCATAAATACTCAGCTGTCTGTATTCTTTATTTTATCCATTATGTGTTGGAACACTATTTTGGGATGTATGGATCTATTTAATTGTAACCACTCTATTCTGTTGAATAAATACAGTGCATGTCTATTGTGGGCGTTTATTATATGTGCGTGTCTGTTCAGTATTCTGTGGGTGCATTGTCACAGGGGAGAGTCTTTTGGTTGCAGGGGATGAGATGGGATCTTACTGTGCATGCCAGGTTGATCTTGAACTCATGATCCTTCTGTCCCAGCCTTCCAAATGCTGGAGTTAAAGGTATGTGCTGCCACACCCTTCAGACAGTCCACAGCATCCATCACTCCTGCTCTACAGAAGCTGCGGCCCCAGGTGCTGCCTGATCCAAATAGCGCCATAGAGCTATATATTGGGCCTGCTACTGTCTCACTAGCTCTTGCTAATCTGATAGTAAAAACCATGGTCTCACTTTATTAAGCTTTTTGGCCACTGCTAAGCCCAAGCAGTTTTTGCACATATGTATGACAATTCTAGTTTCCTCACTGGTGAGCTTCCAGCATGTGTTCTTTGCCTGGTTTTCTTTATCTCAGTGATGTATAGGAATAACGTAACTATCCTGCTACATACATGCAAAATCTTCCAGTTTGTTGTGCATTTTTTTTCTATGTTTAGTTTTCAAGCCCATCCAAAATATTTTTTCCTTCTGGTTCTTTGTTGTATTTTTAGGATGCCTTCCCTGCCAAGGGACTATGTAATAATTTCTATAGTTTTATAGAATTTTAAAAAATATGCGTAGGTGTGTATTCCCTGCACATAATTTAAGTGTACCCATGTGTGCAATGCCTGTGGAGGCCAGAAGAGGGCATTGGATTCCCTGGAACTGGACTTAATGGATGGTTGCTAGCAACCATGTGGGTGCTGGGAACCGAACCTGGGTCCTCTGTAAGAGCAGCCGGTGCTCTTAACCACTAAACCATCTCCAGTCCCAGATTTATAGAAATTTTGAATGCCAAATCTTTTAAATTTTAAGTAATGTGATTAACCCCTGTACATTTAACTTGCATATTCAATACAGTGTGTTGCCCCTGTACAAATGAAAAAAGAACTCAATGTTTCTACACTGATATGGCTGCTAAGTTCTGTACAATACCAACTCACACTAGAACCTGGGAATACGTTCCCAAAGTTAGCAGCACAATTAAGGTTTTCCAGGCTTAGAAATTTATAGAACTATATAAATTTTATATGAAAAGACCGATAACAAGTGTGTTCAGCCGCAGCAGCTTTTCCCTTCTGCAGTCATCTGAATGTCATTACAGACTCATCCTGCACACACCATGTATAAAGGAGCAAGAAAGGAAAGTTCTGTAGTGGTGTGGTGCCTGACACCATTCTCTGAATAGCTCAGTCATCTGTTAAAAGCACATCTGAAGTCTCTGCTGTTTGTCCTAAAGCAGAAGATATTTACATAGGGATGGTACGGTCCAATCCCACATTTCTAACACTAGAAGACCCAATTAAAGAGCCTCATCTGAGACTTGAGTCAACTTTTCCCACACGGGCCAACTCTGGGGAGAAATGGCTTTCTTAGGATTTCCTATCGTTAATGACGCAGTTCTGAGTACTCTGTCAACAGTGGCTAAAAAAAATCATCAAAGCGAAACAAAAGCAGGACACGCTTCCCCTCCCCAAAACTCAAAATACCACGACCACTGCATTCATACAAAGATGACTTAATTGTGAGGTGTTTCACCAGAGAAGACCACCAAAATAATGCCAAAACTCAGCATTCGAACCCAAGTGCAGTGCCTGGCCATTCTTAGGTAAGCTTTTATACAGAAAAACCACATTCAGGGTGAAAATTTTAAGTCTCATAGCTTAGGAGTGGAAAGCCCCTCTAGCAATTACTATTCTGCAAAAGCAAGCCAAGTGTAAAACACAGAAGCCATAAATCTGCACTTAGTAGGAGCAACTAGAAACATGCTGACCTGTTCTCAAGGCAACCAGGCTCCTGCTGACATGTTCTCTACTCATACCTTGGTACAGCTGAGCGGCACCTTCCTGTTCCCACACCCTGGGCTAACTGCCTTTTAGTTACAGAGGCTAGAGTCAGCCTAGACTTCAACATGGTGTAGCTATGGTCAAGAAGGTGCCTTATCACAAAGAAGTATTTTATCAAACTCAAATCTTTAAATTATCTGCACTTAATTTTCAATAGTAGAATACAATTCAGGTTCATGTTTTCCATTGGATGAAACAATTATCCAAACATGGTAATTGTCTGTTGGGGCTGGAGAGATGGCTCAGCAGTTAAGAGCACTGGTTAAGTGGGTTCAATTCCCAGCATCTACATGATGGCTCATAACCATCTGTAACTCCAGTTCCAAGGAATTCGACACCCTTTTCTGGCCTCCACAGGTCCTGTATGCATGTGGTACACTTACATACATGCAGGCAAAACATGCATATGCAAAATAAAATAAAAATATTTTAAAGTTTATTTTCCCATTAAAAATCTACTTGAGGCCATTCCTTCCTTGGAACCCCTTCCACTGTCAAAAGTACACCCTCACTTTCCCTTAATAAATTTATATTCACTCTCCTTTAAAAAAAAACAAACGGGGCTGAAGAGATGGCTCAGCCTTTAAGAACACTGACTGTTCTTGCAGAAGACCTGGGTTCGAATCCCAGCACCTACATGGCGCTAACAACTGTCTGTAACTCCAGTTCCAGGGGATACGACAGCCTCTTCTGTCCTTAGGCATTGCACAGCATGGGTGCACTTACCTACAGGCAGGCAATACATGCATACATAAAATAAAAAACAAGGTATTTTT